AATGGAGATTAGAGAAATGTATAATCCGACATACATTGACATTGACAAACCATATTTATTTCATAACTTCATTTTAGACCAAAGTAAATTGCATGCTGTCATTGTAACTTCTTCTTCTCTAAAAGATGGCGTATTAAAATTCTTAATTCTGATTCTTAATTAGACATTCCTTCTTTCGACTTATATCGCAAACTTTATTTTTCATATAGGCGCTATATTGAAATCTTATACATTTAAATAGACTTTTGAGTCCTAAATTCAGTGATATATTTCCGTTGTTGGCTCACGAACTTACGAGTATTGTTGGATGAAGATAATAAGGAAAAATAAGCTATGGTGACACCGGAGCACAAAATGAACATCTTGTTGATGATAATAACAATAATAATCATAGATACAAAATGTTGTTCGTTTTTTTGTAGGTGAAGCCTCTACATTGATCGCTGCTCGACTCACTTCTCTTCTTCTCAGTCTCCCGAACTCTGTTGGTATGTTCAATTTGAAATGGTGACGTACACGAAACAAATGAAATCTGATACTATGAAGGCCTACCTAGGAACTTTTTTTTGAATAACTAAAGTCTTGCAATCTCAATGTTTGACATATACATTCTTAAGAAATAATAAAGTTGATGCTGGAAGATAAGAGACGAAACATTATATTGAAATTCTGATTATACCACCTTGAAGACGAGAAAAAGTGACAATATTCACATGCAATTTATTTTGGAATCCCCTTAAAAAGAGAAAATTAAAACGATTTTGGAAAAATTCGTTTTTTCCGTCTGTCTCCAGAAGTACTTTAAATTTCAAAAATTTTGTAGCGGCATTTTGTTACCTAAATAGGCAAATCTGCCCTTATTTGCGATCCTAATGGAGAGGGCTGAGTTTAAAACACCCGATATGTTGACCTTGGGAATTCAGGCTGAGCACCTGTGGACTATTAGTGAGATATAGAAAAATGGGATCTGCATGCCCATTCACTCTCTTACGCTGAATCTGTTGGTCGAGATGTTTGAATTGACCAATCAGAGTCGAGCTGGTCGGGCTCGCTTCCAAACCACAAAATTCCATAGTCCAGGTGCACTAAGAAATGTTCGCTTTTGGGCATGTTGTGTTTTGTCTGGGGGTAAATGGACTACGAATGGGGTATAGACACACGAATCTTGCTTCAGAATTGTCTTTTTTATATACTTAGATTAAATGGCAGTAATATTGAAGTGAAGAACAGTAGGGATGGCATCAGTTCAACTGTACGATGATGTTGTTAGATGCAGCTAAATGAGTCACAAACCTCTACCTGATAAGAATTCGTAACACTCTACTAAGTCAGCAAGTCCTGTTATTAGCTACGTGTAGTTTAAATGCGCATCTATTCAGGCCATAACAGTTTTTTCTATTTTGATCAACACTACCCTGCTTGTGTTTCTTTTTCTGACGTTGTCTGAAAGAGCAGCTGAATATATCTCCTCTAGCATGAAATGAGAACTGAGCCGAGATTCACTTCAAAGGCGACGGCGTCTGTTGCTCTGAATGCATCCAATTATGGACGCAATTGCCAGTATAATGAGCAAAAACTATATTAGATATTTTTTCTCTATTCGTAATAGCCTTATCATAAAAACGACAGTAGTTAGTTAATAGTTAATTAGTAGAAAAGTGTATCTTCAAACAGCTTCGGAAGGAAATGAAATTTGTATGATTTCTATGGAGAGCATTTTCAATTCCACGAATTTCTATGTTACAGTCCGAAAGTGTCTTACTTCAGATAAATTAAACTTTAATTTGTTGAAAAAAACTGTAATAGGCATTTAACTGAATTTGCTGAAAATCAACAGATACAGGATACAGATGTACAGTCAGAAACATAAATAAAAGCGTATAACGACGGTCCATTGGAGCCACAGATTGTCATAGCCATTTCAGTCCAATAATACCTTCTCTTTCTGAAGTTTCTGTTTTATTGATGCGTGTTTCTCAATAACAAAATCATTGAATGCTTATTGCATTTCCCTTTCAAAGCTTTGTTTACAAAAAAAGGTTGTATAGACTTTAAGGGTGTCTTACCACATATTTATTTATATCCTTAAAACCGAACAGAGGACAATTTTCATAGCTGTCCATGTTGGGATGGAAAACTATATCACTGTAAAGAATAAACAAGTCGATACACAGTCCAGAAACAAATATAGTGAAACCGTTCGCAATGTTAAAGACCAACGGGATGTAAAAATTAGTCACAGGAAATGTCACAGCGCAATGACAGTCGGTCTTTCTAGACACTGGCCAAGCAGTTTGAAGGAAATCTCTCAAAGAGAAGCCTTCCAACGCTTACGTACCAGGATGGGATGAAGCAAACCTCAACAACAAAAAATTTGGTAATAGGCCTTAAACAGCACCCGTATAAACTAGTGCAGGAATTGAAACCGCAGGACCACCGTCTACGCCGTGAGTTTGCCTTAACAATGTTAGAGCGCTTTCTAAGTTTGAACTATACTCTCTTTTCTGATGAAGCTCATTTTCATTTGAGTGGATTTGTCAACAAGCAAAATTACCGAAATTGGGCCGCCGGAAATCTGAAATTAAAACTCCAACGATCTTGCATTCGCGTTATGTTACAGTTTACACAGCAATGCTACCTAACTTTTTCTCTCCGCAACTGCATAATTCTAAAGCCTACCATAGCAGGATCTGGTTTTAACAAGATGGCGTGACATCCCATACCGCCAATGAGTCGTTAGCAGTTGTGGATGAAATGTTCAGTGAAAAACTGATATCACGACGAGGGGACATTCCATGGCCTCTAGGTATGCCTCAAGAGATGCGTTTACTCCAATAAACCGACGACAATTGCCCAGCTCACGCACAACACTTACGAGGAGATGTCCGCTATCCCACGAGCTATGTACAAGCGAGTTTTGACGGACTTGAAGTCGAGATTCCAGGAGTACGTACGTCTCGATGGCTGACATCTCAGTGATGTTATTTTCAAAAAATAAAACTTCCCTAGGCTTTGTAGTTTTTTTTCTATGATTTCTTAGAATCCGCAAAACTTAACGGCCCACCCTGTACGTTATATTGTAACCCAATATTCTCTTAGTAGCACAACAATAATTAGAGGTCAATATCTTTAATCCGATCTAGCTTACTCATACGTTCGCGAAAAGAACTGAGATGCTTGGTAGTTGTGAGAAGTGCGAAATCTTTCTCCATCTGTCGGCGTGCAAGACCCCAGCTTTCCACGTTCGAAGACAGATTGCTTCATATTTAGCTTCGGGGATTATGAAGTACTTGCAGCGTCGGTCCGGAAGTTTTATGCTTGTGACTAGATCGCAGATCAGCTTCTAGATTAATGGTCTAATAGATTTGTGCAGTCATGTACATTCCATGATGTATTGAGGATAATTGACCTTCATATCTCTAGTGTTTTTCAACTCTAAATCTTTGAAAGCAAAAATTTGTCACGATATTGTCGATACTCTAGATGGTGAACAAACGCGGGTGCTCTATATTGTACATGCGTCGGCCGTGGCAGCTTTACCGGTAATGTCATAATTGCAGTTCTCGAAGACAATAATTATTTATTACTCCTTATTGGTATTCCATTTTAAAAGCTTGACTATACGAAAAGTACTCATTAGATTTGTATCTTGTTCAACGCTAATTATTCCAACTATTTCAAGAGAAGGAAGCAATTAAAAAAATTAACGGACCTACCACTTTTTTAATGAAATAGCTGTGCCTAGGCGCGAAAATTACCTTGCTAGACCTGAATCGTGAAGACATCGCTATCAGCTCCCCCAGTCCTTCAATTTTCAATCGCCGACACCTCCCTACCTCAGATGAAGGTCTTCCTGAGTATGAGTCCTGCGACTGCCACTGCACTTCACTCCTCCCCAGAGAAATTCCTAAATCTGCTACAACAAAAATCTCTTACACAAGTACAGTTCATCTAGATTTAAATATACTGATAACGCCTACGTGGAAATTACCAAATCAAGAAAGGATATACATGAATACTCGTTCTATAGATTTCCTTAGTTTTTACATAGGTATTAAATATGTTTTTTGTACTGAAGCAGTCACGTAGGCATAAATCCAAAAATTGCACAACTGGAAAAAACCTCCTCAGGCAGACTTTACCACAATCTCGACATCCTAGGAATGAAGATCCGGTCGTGCTGGCCAGTTATCGATGTGCGAAGTTCGATAGAGTTAGGATGGGAGGCAAAAGCCTGGCGGATTCATTTGGCAGGCGCAGCATTCGGCGACGTCATGGAGAAGAGCTCTTAGGACCAAAGCCTGCAGACATATCGGTAGAAGAGGGCAAGATCGCCGATTGCCTGTCGTTGCGAAAGGGTCCCGAGACTGTCGGTTAGACAAGTGTCGAACAGTCCTCCTCTGAATAGCATCGAGCGCGGCAACTCCAAATATTTGAGTAGTACTCGAGGCTAGGTATAGTCTAGGCCTTGTACACAGTTAGAAGGTTGTGCGGAGAAAAGTACATCTTAGTCATAAACAAATGAACTAGTTTTTTACCTGCAACTATACCAGATTGTTGCATCCCCAAGAGGTGTCACACTGAATGCGTGCGTGTAGAGTGCTGTCATCGGCAAAGCTGTGAATGGGATTTATCGTGCAGGATGGAAGGTCATTGATATGTAAAAATAATAGAGCCAATTTCAGTTTTGACATTCAAGGCAGTGCTATAAAATCCAGTTTTATTCGGAAATCCCTCATAAAAGTTCTATTTCAAACTCGCATAAAAAATCGCATCTTAGATTGCTGCCTGAGATGTAGCAACCCATACTATATTAACATGTATCTTGGAAGCGGTAGGGGATTTTTTCTTTGAAATTCGCATAATCGTGTAGTCACTGCTGCATAGTAAGTATGTAGATTAGAATAACAGACGATCAGCATTATGGAAATGCATTCAAAGAAATTGAGCTTTAAAACGAACGTAATGATGTAATTTAAACAAATAAGGAATAACGGTAATTTAGTTCAGTTCAGGTTTATTGCATCCATCGACGTACATTTTTAAATTACACTGGCAGAAGGTTTGTCTCATTTACTAGACAATAAATAGAATCGGTGAAAAGTGATTTAAGTACTACGTTAAGGAATAAAGGTAGTTTAGCTGACTACATACTTTATTAATAATTACTAATTTGAAGAAAAGTACTATTCAGATGGCTTTTTCGGTATTTTGCAGTGGTATCTACTTCATCTTGGCCACAACACAACCAAGACTATAAATGGTTTTAAGTCCCTGAAACAAGAAGACAAGATAGGTTATATAATCATAGAAAGAATAATAATAAACGGGCTTTATTTCGTTCCAAAGTAGAAAAAAGTCACAGTATCGCTAAGAGTAGCGTCTTTCAACTTAAACTGAAATGCAATAAAATCGAGTCACATTCCCTGTGCTGTCAAAAGTTCCTATAACCATTGACCTATATTGAAATTCTTATCAAGATAGTGGATAATAGAGCATTTGTAGGAGAACTTTTGAGTATCACAACATATTTAGAAAGTACGTCTGACGAAAACAAAAAACTTTGTATGAACATACAGATATTGGCTTAAAATGGTATTTTGCACGAATATCCAATACGGCGCGATAACAGCTGATTATGTAGTGATATTTCAGAACTGCCCAAATCGACAAGTCACACATAATTAATTCTGAGGGATCGGTCAACGCCAGGTAGACAGATCGGTACTTTGTTGTGTTTTTTTGGACGCTACAGATTCATTTTGTATTTACTAACAATTCTGTTATTCGGAAAAGTTTCTCGCATATAAAAAACGCTATAAGGAAAATGACTGCTAATGATCGTGACTACATTTCAAGTCAGGTGGGAATAAAATAAGATAAGCAGTTTTTGACCATGCTATGCCATCATTACATATCAAGGGAATGGGAAGTTCCAGGAAGTATACTTTATTTTCACTCTGCTGTTTGAGTGAGCTGTATTCATTAGTAGTTCTTATAATATCCTATGCACACACTTATCTGTATTTGAATTACGTTACACTGATGACGGACAATAAGCCAGAAACACGTATCTATACTTTTTACAGGTAAAGTTACAGCTAGAAAGCACAACACGACCTGTTCTATTGACTCAGCTGGTTCCCAATAAATCCTAGAGGTACTATAGCAGTTATCTGATAAACATTATATCTGTACTTTATACTTCTTGTTGTCACATTTACCAGTATAAAGTATAAAAGTATAATCCAGATTTGTGAATAACAGCTGTGAATACTGTGAAATTCATTCTTAACAACGTTACAGACTAATACAAAGATGTCGCTTTTGTGATTAGCTGTTAGCCTCAGTAGACGACAATACGTAATGGATAATCGTGAAAACTATCGAATTGTAGCAGCAACAACGTAACCAATACATTGTCGTTGACCTAGACACTAATGGCATAGACTATAGACAATGGAACGTTTTGCCCTCAACGGAAGATAAAAATATTTACTGCGCAACTTTTTTTGAAACGTATATTACATTTTTGAATTAGGTTTTAAATTTTGTATAAATCGCCACTCTTAAGAAGGTTTTCTTATATTACTCCTTTTGAAGAAGAGCTGATTTAAATATTTGGGATGAGATCCATGTAAAAAATGTAACAACACACCCTATTTTAGTTATGCGACATGTTTAGCCGTACATCTATAAAAACTTCTTTATCTTTTTCATGTATTTTCTACCCCTGAAATATTGCCACTCTTGTCTGAATCATCCGTATACCTTCTTGCCTAAGAAATTCTTGATTGCATACGATGAAACGATCAGTATAGTCATCACTTTGGCATTCTGAGAACTACTTACATGCATCAGATAAACGAGATTTAGGAACTTCACACCATAACAAGTGATACTGAGACCTTCATTTGAGTTCATGAGCATAAACAGGTATAATTTTTTATTCCTCTCGTTCCAAGTGTTCCAAGGCAAATTGCAGAGTAATTTGTAGTATTTGTTTGCCTGAAAGGGTGAAATGGTTTACTCAATAAGTGTGCAGCTCCCGTCATGAAAGTGCGCTAGAAAGTATATTTGCATCTGTAAGAAAAACTATTCTGATTAGGATTTTTTGCACAATATTTTAATAAATCTGCATGTCTTCAGCCCTAAAATTATATCAGAAAATGTTTGTGGAACGTTGCGCAGTGATTCCGCTTGCATACTAGAGCGGCCATAAATACACAAATTAGATTTAGCTTTTCCATTGTATTTTAAGCCTTGAAATACAGTTTTACAAACATGAAAATATTATTTAAAAAAATAATAAGTAGATATAAAATAAATAATTAAAATAAAACAGTTTATAATAATGGCAAACAAGATGTATTGAAAAAAAATATAAACTCTAATAATTATAATAGCATAAACATTATAATGGAAACAATTAACTTAACAAATCCGACACATAGTTTGACAACATGTATTTTTTTTAACAGGTAACTTTCGTAAGTCACTATCTTCCTTAGAGTGCCAAATATCAAAGAATACTACTCGGAACAGAATACGTGAAAAATCTACCTAAAACAACAACAATAATGTATTTGGAAAACACCTCTTTTTTCTGTACTATGAACATATGTGGTTCCGCACCTCACAAACCTAAAAAGGGGCAGCAAGGTGCAGATAAAACCTACATGCCCATAATCTAGACATTCTGTACTATAAGATAACATTTATCTCAGCTGCAGCAGGGCGCAGCCAAAAGTTTATAACTCGAAATGAATTTTGTACGACAAGAGATCTAGCAAAAACAACTTTCAATAAAAACTTTATATAAAACTCCAAAACGCATATTTTTACATAAAACAAGTAAATAGTAAAATTACATACCATATTCTTGCACCTCCATATTATCACTACGTAAAAACGTTAGGCTTGAAATTATAATCCACACAAAAAAATCTAGTGAGTTGCAAAGACTTACACGTCCCGGTAATTACTCGAGAAGCTGTCACTTGCGATGGACGAAAGTAAATGACAGTTGCATTGTTGTTCATATATTTTAAAAGCCTCGCGCCTACTCGATAACTTAGCGACTCATCTAGAGCCTTATAAAATCTTAAGTTTTTGTGATTTTTGGCCTATGGAGAAATCCTGTGCGTTGCTTTTCTCTGTCCAGTTTTCTAGATAGCTCTGAAGGAACAAGGTTAGTATGAATGTTTCTCTAGAGTTGATAGTTTTCGAGATATAAGCTATTCAACATTTGGAAAAGTGCATATTATTCTCAATCCCGAAAAATAATAAGAAAAAACGAAAATTTCAACAAAGTCAAAGTTTCTTAATAAGGCTCCATTGTCTGGCCGAATCAAACCACATATATGTTTTAATTTCTGTTTATTGTACGAAGCTTCAGCTCAAGTAAAATAAACAGAAATTCAAGCTTATATGTGATTTTGTTCAGGCAGACAATAAAGTTCTATGAAAATGAAGACCACAGGACCAAGTTTTAGGTGTCTCAAAAGTTATCCTTCAAAACCCATTAATAAGATCCAAAAGCATTGAGGGTATTTTTGTTTTAAATCTTTGTTATTGATTGTTATTCAAGCGCGCGCTCAAGGTATATTCCGCGTAAGTAGCGAGATATTCTTTTATACTGAACCAGCACGAAACACCCGTTGCTACCGTGAAGCTATAGGGTGATACAGGGAAAAGGGGAAGACGTCGCTCGGGCTCTAACCATGTGACATGTACACCTTCTGGCCCTGCCTTAGAGATCCGCCGAGTGCTACCTCCACATGCGACGATCTGATGGCTTATATCATAATATCATATCTTTTTTGTTCTGAGTAGCCCAATAATCTGAAAAACCTTGATCTGGGGCAATTGAAATAGTATTTGGAAATCGTTTTGTGGGTCTGGAAAGATTCAGATTCATTGAAAGGGCTAATACAAAAATATCAAACCAGAATCCTTTTTTGAACAGATGCAGTATTATGTGCTGCAAACCAACTGATGGATTCATTTTATAGGTACTTACAGAGTCTGTAATATTTTGCCCCTGATAGCAGAACGATAATATTGACGAAATCCAAATCATTTGGATTGATAAAATATGAACATTGATGTGTCTTGCCTGAAAACAGTGTCAAATTATGTCGGATGATTCCATTCTACTGTTTTGTCTTAAGATGTACCATGCCTCAGTTGAAATATTCTTGTATAATTAACTAATGGATATGAATCGGTAAGAACTTACAGCTAAAGTCAAATAGATGCAGATTGTCATTGAACCGATTCTCGTCAGTGCAATGGACAGCATAAGGTTTTCATGCACTCTATTGATATGGCGAGTTGATCTGTAAATTTGAGCAGTTCTTAAAGAATGCTGATTAGTACCAACTGATTATATTCTGTTTCTCCAGGTGGGCGGCAACGCCCCCCTGTGTGCGCTGGAGACCTACTGCGGGAGGGGCGGTAAAAAGCCTGAAGGAAATTGGGGTCGACAATGAATTGATTGGGGGAAGCAGCGACGCAATAGCTAATTTTCGTCTCCCGTGATCTTCAACTGTCACATGTACATTCTTTATCAGACACACTGATTCACTGAGTCTGTTTGTCCTATTTTTAATTATTGAATGAACTTTTCCTGCATATCGATACATACATCTAAAAACATTGTAACTGACATCTGGTGGATTTTTTAGTTTTTAGTTGTTTCAGATAGAGCTTACTTAATACCTTCAGAATTTAAACATCTTTTTGTAGCAAAGATGAGAAAAAACTATTTTAAATATCATTGTAACTGTATACTGTGACGGTACAGCAGTAAGATCATGGTAACGTTCGATAAAATTCCACTATAGCTTACCCAGGATATTGTAAAGTACGTTACGCATCTACCACAACCCAGTTGTTATTTTTAAAACAATGTATTTGCCTTTACAAACGTATTATGGTACATTGTGAGTGACTTTACAATGATGTTGCACGGAAAATAGCAATCACACATTGCTTATAACGTCCCTCAAATGTTAATGCTGCTGTAAGAGCCCTTACAATGTTTTTACAGGTACAGTTTATGTATTTTTATTTTTAGTGGCTATGTTTTATGGAAGAACATTGTAACATAAGTTACGATGATTATACAGCTAAGTGCACGTTTTCGTCACATTGTAATTACCCGTTTTCTGCTTCTTGCATGAATTTTTTACCACGCATACAGGGTTTGTCCGAAAAGTAATAGGACTCATTTTCTTCCGCCATGACTGTACTTCGGAGCGTGCGCGCACCGACTGGATTCGGTAGCGGGCGTTCCTAGCTAAAACATAGAAAGCTAGTGAAGTGCTGCATTTATGGGATTCCATAATATATCATTTTCATGAAATTTTTCAATTAAGAGCAGCACAGCTTCGTCGTCCCAATTAAACGACATTTTAATTTGTCTAAACACATAAACCGCACAACACTATCGCTCGAATGCCAGGAACGAAGTGACGCCGGCAAGCCGCGTAACCCACCGGCACACCACGGCGGCTCCTTTGCTCGGCAAGGCCGGCGGCTTTGTATGCCGCCGGTTGTACGGCGGCTTAGCCGGCGGCCTGCCGCCGGCACTGTGTATAGCAGCCTTAACGAATGAGCGGCTGGTCAGTTGTCTCCCAGCACTTGGGGAGGCAGGACAGGCATTTGCGCGCGACGTGTTTCTGTGAGTGGTGCAAGCCGAAAATGCAGCGTTCGTTAGAGCAGAGGTACGCGATTAAATTCTGTGTGAAACTCGGTAAATCTGCGACAGAGACGTTTGATATGATCAAGCAGGCTTACCCAGGTGTTGCTTTAGCAAGAAGTGGTGTATTTCGGTGGCACCAGGCCTTTTTGGAGTTCCGGGAAGAGGTGGCTGATGAAGACCGTGCTGGAAGACCTTCGACTTCGACAAACACCGATAATCTGACTCGTCTGTGCAAAGTTTTGAACTCAGACCGCCGACTAAGTATTCGTTTAATTGCCCAGATGTTAGATTTACCAAAATCTGTGGTTCATGATATTGTGACACAGCATTTGAACATGCGCAAGGTGTGCGCAAAGATGGTCCCAAAAGTGCTCACTAACGACCAGAAATTGCGGCGAGTGGAAGTGTGCCAAGAAAATTTGAACATGTGTGAAAGTGACCCCCAATTTTTGAATAACGTAATCACAGGTGATGAGTCGTGGATCTTTGAGTATGATCTCGAGACAAAGAGGCAATCTTCCGAGTGACACACGACGGCGTCTCCTCTCCCAAAAAAGGGAAGAATGAGCAAATCCAAAGTGAAAACGATGCTCTTTGTCTTTTTTGACATCAAATTCATCGTCCACCATGAATTTGTTCCTCCTGCACAAACTGTGAACGCCAATTTTTACGTGGAAGTGCTCAGGAGACTCAAACGAAGGGTCAGTCGGGTCCGACAAGACATCGCAGCCGGAAGTTGCACCACGACAACGCCCCGGCTCACACTGCCTTTCTTGTGAACAGCTACCTGACCAAGGCCGTCATCCCAACATTTCAGCAGCCGCCTTACAGCCCAGATGTGCCCCCCGGACTTTTTTTTGTTTCCTCGCCTGAAAAGGCCGATGACAGGCAAGCATTTTGAGATGACAGAGGGGATCCAAGCAGCATGCACCGGGGCTCTCAAGGCTATTCCGGAGAATGCCTTCCGTGACGCCTTCAATGCTTGGAAATTGCGCTGGCAGCGCTGCATCGACGCAGAAGGAGCCTATTTTGAAGGTTTTTAAAGAATTGTAACGATTGGCTCAATAAATTTTTTTAAATCGACTCAGTCCTATTACTTTCCGGACAAACCCTGTAGTGCAAAAAAGCGTAGTCAAAGTTGATAGAAAATTGCTGTGGCTCTCCTGAAAACTTGACTTTTGTTAGTTACAATATTCTTAGATGCATGTATCGATATATCCTCTATGACTGAGGCTCAACGTTCATTACTCAGGATCCTTTGCAATGCTTTTAAGAATCCGATACTCCACAAGAGCATAGTACTTGACCCCCAGCGGACTTTTATCTCTTTGAAACTTGTGTGCCTGTTTATCTGATCTCCGTAGGGTCCGACCAGAGGGCAGCTTTTTCATCCTAGCCGAAGGCTGAGTTACGTCCCTAGCTCCGGATCTTATACTTGTTATATGTAGTTTATTTTTTAATGTGTCATACTGACTCAAAATGTGTGCTATATACGCGTACATATTGGAAAACGATTAAACTCTATACAATATTTCAACGACTCCAAAGAAAAAACATAACAGCGAAAGTGTATCAGAGAAAAGCACACAAATATTTAGAATTCGAATTATTAGCGCCAATAACCGGAACATTCCTGAAATGGTACATTCGCAACGGTATGGTAATTAAAATATGCCTTCATTGGCATTCTTCACATAACTTAAATAATTGAAATCAGCTGTACATTCATAGAGCTGCATTGAAAGTCTCATTCGCTGATGTAATTTTATAACATTCAATATGTAAATGTGTGAATTTTTGACAAAACAAAAACCAGTAGGTGGGCATAAGTTTTGACGTTAATTATGAAACGGCTATCAATCATGTCAATAGTAAGAAGTCAAAGTCAAAAAGTAATCGCATACCAATATAACAGATAATTCTCGGTACCTAATATTTGCCACCAAGAACCATATTTTATCAATATCCTTTAACGATTTTTTGTATCAAAATAAGACAGTGCAAAGTGCCACCTATTACCAGGATCGACCACTGCCACACTGAAGCAGTAAGCTTTCCTTCGTTGTTTCATCTGAGACCAAGCCTAGATCATCCTAGTTTACGAAAAACACGAAGTAGCTGTCCGTGGTTGACCGTTTATGGTCGTACGGATAAAAACTATATTACTGGTGTGTCTAAACTGTTCTTGAACTCGATCACTGTGACTAGTTTCGTTTCCCCTCTGTCATTTCACGAGACTTCTATAAGTTCCGATTGAAACTTTTTTGCCAGAAGGCCAAATGTGTGGCTGTTGGTGTACTTTTGGGGCCGACTGTGACCGAAGACGCAGGGCTATCATCGCGTAATAAACGTCAAAAAATGACAAAATGTCAACTTGCTGCCTATAGAAATCATATTAGACCGAAATACACCTGGTTTGCGAAATAATTTTAAAGCTTGGTTTTATTGCTGCAAGTTGTTCACTGGAGTATTCAAAACATGGACGCATAAAATGGGTACACCAATTTTTGTGGGAAAATTCGACAACAAAGAATGAGAAAACGTGTTTTCTGGGACTCAGTCGAAAATATTAGCAGAAAAGAATAAGTTCTTCATAAAAAAATCTTAGGTATTCATGAGACCTACAAAATGAGACCTCACGTAAAAAGTTATGGCCGAAAACCGCGGCAAGCTGCCAGTTTCGGCACTTGTTGGTAATCGGACGATGGTTTCTCGCAGATATTTAAAATTCTTCAAATTCGTAGGATTCGTACTTCTAAATAACTACAACAAAATTGGAGTAGAATGGTGAAGCAATTTTGAGAATTTCTAATTGTTCATCCCAAAACACCTGTTTTCTGGAAACCACGTCTAGTTTATTGAGCAATATACAGGGTTAGTTCAACGGGCATTTTATAGCAAAATACAATAGTTTGCTTTGGCGATATGAATCGCAAACCAATCCATACGATAAATGTTATTTTTATGCAAAAAGTATGGGTTACGTTTTTTCTTCTAAACAGATTCAAGCATTTCGCATTTGTGAGTAATACGTAACAAAAGATATTAGTCACATTCGCTTTGTTTTAATATGTGTATAGTAACCTATGTTTTTCAAATATCGTAGCGCATTTGTTCAATTACTCACAAATACGAAATGTTTGAATTTGTTTAGAAGAAAAAACGTAACCTTTGTGATTCATATCGGCAACGTAAACACGTCTATTTTGCTATTAAATGCTCTTTGAACGAACCTTGTATATTAATTAATAAATTAGTAGTGATGACTGGAGCACAGGTGTTTTGAGATGAACAATTAGAAATTCTCAAAAAACTACCTGACTAATCTACACCAATTTTATTGTTGTTGTTTAGAAGTATGAGTCCTATGGATTTGAAGAATTGCAAGTAGCATAACATTTTTGCTATGAGTCGGATCTTTTCACGTGTGGTCTCATTTTGTAAGTCTTATTACCTAAGAATGTGAAATAAATAGTTATTTCGTTCCTGGCAACACTTTCGATTGAATCCCAAATAACAAGTTTCTTCATTCTTTGTTGTCAAACAGGCCCGTAGCCAGGATTTGGTTCGGGGGGAGGGGGGGCTCGCAGTGTATACTTATAAATGGCACAAGGCTCATAGTCGTAAGCACGAATTAGTATAAGAAAAGGAGTCAACATAGGCTTATGATTTTATAAATCAATGTAATAGAAAAAAAAATTATGAAATTATTGTAGAGCTATAGATTTATTCATCTATATGTGTAAATATAATGTAAAAACCTGAGAATATAACACCTTTAACTCGAAAACTTTGACCTGTACTATCAAAAAAGTAATTTTCTAGATTTCTTTCCGACAAAATGTCTAGGACGTGATCAGGATCGACAACAATATCCCAGTGAATAGAGATCATAGCGAGTGAACTCAATCTTGGCCCATAACACGTCGCGGTAGAGCTTTAATTCTTTTCATAGTGGAAAATGATCTTTCTACGCTAGCTGTTGTCACTGGCAAAGTGGCTAAGGTAGGTAGAAATATTCTGATGCCGTGAAAATAATTTCCATTGTATTACTCCAACAGTTTAAAACCTCGGTTGATTGATCAATGGACGATATCTTCGCACACCACAACCTATATTCTGCCTTCACTGCCGTTGATGATATCTTATCGTCGAGGTATGGCGCTAAGTTGTCTAACTCATCGGCTTTACCACATTAGCAAATCCTGGGAGGAGAAGTTGGAAGCTTGGTAGGATATCTTTATTTTCGAGAAATCGTTCTGTTGAATTTTCAACCAAGGAATCGATGCACGGTAGAAATACTGAAATTCTGAAATACGCTTCATTTGATGCCGTTTGCGGGTTAGCACGGTCTTTTTGACGTGAGACAACTCTCGGAGATCGAATTTCAGTGTCGAATAAGTCTCAAAGAAATCATCAGCAGATTCTCTAATTTCACGCAAAGACAGTATTATTTCCTTTGTGCAGTTGATAGCGGAGATGAAATGCATATACTTTTCTTGGAGAAACACTGACAATGGAAGAGTTAAACTAAGCAGTTTTTCACATACCAAAGTACCCACAATAAAGTCACTTTTTTGAATTGCAGCAAAAACAGCAGATGCTGTTGATGATACAGACCATGCTTTGCCAGCTGTTTCTTCTAGAATCATGGCGATGCATTCAGAAAGTTCCACGAACGTGATTATACTCTCATGCCTTTCAATGAACCTTGTATCACAAAGACGAAGCAGTCTCTTTTTTTTACTGTCTGGAGCACAGTTTTGGACGGTTCTTTGAAAAACTTTATTTTCATTCGAAGTGTTTCTAAACGGACTTATGATTTGTCCAACGACTCCATGACAGTTGACAGGGATTGACATTGCATTTGAAACAGCAAGATTCAAACGATGACTCGCACAGTGATAGTACCTTGCATTATGACAGACGTTTTTTATTCTTTTCTGAACTCCTCTCAAAAGACCTGCCACGTTTGCGGCTCCTTCGTGCCTTTGTCCGACACACTTATTCTTGTCCAGTTTCAACTCCTTACGTCGCTGCAGAATGACGTTACTGAGATTCTCGGAACATTGATCATCTATGACAAAGCCCACAAAATCTTCTCTCAATACTGATGTGTTCGGGTCCTTCGTAAAATCAACATATCGCAAACATAGTGATAATCGCTCAGTGCCTGAAACTCCATTGTTTGATGATATGTGAAGCAAAAGAGCCCGAAACTTCCCATGTTTTTTTTCCGGCCTTTTTAAAGAGAAAGGACCACTATCATCATCCCCTCTCAAAGGTCGGATATTCAATTGCGTAGCGATATCATGTTGCTCTCCAGATGCAACTTCTAGAAATGATGTGGCTCATGTACCGCATTCTCGATGACACTCTGTATTCAGATGCTCTTTAAAATATCCTATAGCTCTTTTCCAATTCCGATAACTGCTTGTGACTAGTTTCCCTCTATTCCAATGATATCCCTTGCCAACCCCTTCATGATAGAATAGCCAGCATTTTTTGTAAAATACACCATCTTCACTTGTTGAGTAGGCTAGGAAATCGTTTTCCAAACATCGATGTTCATCGCATGTGATGTAATGTAAGATGGTCTGCGAAAATTTCAAATTGGGCGACATTTATGGATTAATAATAAAAGAATAATGAAGGTGAACAACAAATAAATGTCCAATATTGTAGCGATAAAAGAAAATAGCATAGGTACGAAAGACGTCTTTTTATAGTGGTAAATGAATATCCCTACTTCCCTACTAATATTATAAATGTGAAAGTGTGTATGTTTGTTTGTATGTTTTGCTTTCACGCCAAAACGGCTGAACCGATTTCGCCAAATTTTAGCACAGATATAGACTAGACCCCAAGGTCGGACATAGGCTAAAAATTTTCAATTATTTGTTTCATATATTTACATAATATGATTGAGATCACTTGAATTTTCTTAGTTTATCTTTTATGTTTGAATCTGAAAATAAATTCTTTCGGAATTCCGGGGAGGCTTAAGCCCCCTGAGCCCCCCTGGCTACGTGCCTGTTTTCAAACAAAAAGTTTTCCCAACAAATTGGTATACCCATTTTATGCGTCTATGTTTTGAACAACTTGCACCAATAAAACCAGATTTTACAATTACTCCGAAAACATTTGCTAATATGATTAGACTACGTTCCTAGTGTGCAAATACTACATTCCGCATCACAAAAGACTTGTATAGTACCGGTCGGTATTCAGTCTTCCAAGACGTTACACAATTGCATAGTACCTTAATAATAATAAAAAATTAGTATACCTTACAACTTCAGCGTGTTCTTTGGCAACATGTCTCAAACAGTTATACACGTAGAGCTGATTAACCACTGGAGCGTATTGTTCACTTATAGATTCCATAGTTTCAAAAATGTGAACGAACTGTACAACTATTCCGTGAACAAAGTAACTGAAGCAGACGTTAGCGTAACCAGTGTAGGCTGCTTGTGCGCTATCTATTATCAAATATGCTGCACCAAAAATTATGGCATATCGTCCAAATTTTTCTTCAATGTAAGTTAAGGTATAGTTGTATTCGTATTCGGTCTTCAAGCAGAGGAATCTATGAAGTAGAAGATATATATAACTTAAAATACCTCCTGGAATGGTATCTGAAATGCTAGATACAAAATACGTACATCTTAAATACTTTTTGAAGATATAATACTTTTGTAAGAAAGTGACATACAGGTATTGAGCTTATTTTATTATTATATTGATCGGAGCAGTTATTCAAACATTTTGTGACTCATTTTTCTTCAATGAGGTCTTATAGTTATACTCCCAAAAAAGAAGAACCACTCCACATGTGCAGAATTTGGCAAACAGGTGTTGCATTTGAAAAATATTTTTTAGCTATTTAAGCTCTTTAAGCAATACAAGTTATTTCTGTTGAGATATTGTTACTTTCCGTGGACTCGTTTTGCGATATAATCTGCTGACCATGAAAAACTTACCTTATAATAGCAGCTATGAAAGTGACCGAAATCATATAAATTCTGGTGAATTCTTGTATGCGAACGGCTATTGCAATTCTTTGACTATATTTGTTAGTATGTACCTGGGAGCGAGACAAAATGCTCAGAACATTTCTTAAAAGAATAAGGTTGTCTTCAGCTGCACCAATGTACTGCAGCCAGGGGATTCCCCTCTACAATATGAATATTTTACATATACAACCTAGTTTCAAGTTCCTTTGAAAAGCATTTCATTTTTGGTTTCCAAAATATGGATATGCATTATTGGCTTCACACAGCGTACGGTTTTCCAAATTCCATTACACTATGTGCGGTGACTACTGAGATTAGATAGTGACAGAATGCGATTGGACTATTAAACAGATTGTAGATAATACTCAATTCAAGAAACAATCTCAGAAAGTGTTCGCAGTTACACCACGGGAAACAGAGGGTAGGTTAAATGTGGGAGACATGCCGCATGTTTTCAAAAAATTGACATAATGGTTATATATTGTTAGATAAAAATAAATTGAAATCGCAAATGTACATTAAAAATATTTATTTATGAAATATACTAACACAAAAGCAACTATAACAAAAAATAAACAAATGAAAACGTATGATTTATGACTAGAGACCGGATTATATGCATTTGCATATTAAGCCTATTTTCGCGGGTAGTTGCATATTTCAACAAAAATCTAGAGACGTTGCATATTTTTGCTATAGACAAATCTATTGATCTCACGCTTTTTGACAAACGACGTTTCCAATAACAATTTTGGTAGATGAGATGTTCCAGTGAATTCGCACTTACATTTTCTGTGCGAATATGCTTCCAATGAACGTCCAGCCTAAGCATCCGGGCATCAAGGCCACGTAAACCACTAACGATCTACGACACCACTCATTTCTCTAATTTACCTGTCAATATCAAACAGCTTGAAACTCAAGGTTTGGCGTTGACCGAGTCTATTCAATTAATGGAAAAAGTTCGGCAAGTGAACTCCGTATAGCCAGACGCATTCTCGTCTAAGTTTAAACATAAGTTTGAAAGCATTTTGAACAATAACCCAGGCTTTGAATCTTTATGTCAAATTGAGAGTTTTATTAATGGTACTTGTGACGTTTTGCCAGAGACAATATAAGCAAGCATAGGACCCAGATTCAAATGCTGCCCAGTCACCTCCGTGGATGCGGAGCGGTCTTTTTCGACCTAAAGTGATATTTTGAGTGATCGAAGGTACCGTCTTACCGCTTAACATATGGACCAATACCTTATTGTTTGTGTTTACAAAAATAACAACATGTTAAGGAGTCGTCACTAACAGATGTCATAGATAAGTCATTCAAGTGCTTAATTATTAATTATTTGTAAGCCGACTTTAAAATAAAAAATTGTAAAAATCATTTTTGTATTGCTATCTAATTTTGCATATTTTGATACTTCCATGCATATCTCAACCATTTTTGATGCATATTTTCATTCAGATTTCAAACTTTTTATGTTGCAAATAATCCGGTCTATACAGGGCGTAAAGTTATTAGTGGATCAACGGAAGTCAGGTGATTGAGTTTTGTAGTTAAGGGGATATTTGCAATTGTGAAATTTCGAACAATACGGGATAATGAACTTTCAATCGCAATCACAACTAAACCATTAGGTTGAGGGCTGTGACTTTCTTTCTGAGATGAGCCAAATAGTTTGTTTTAGCAATGATTGTGTCACTTTTTAACAGAGCTAATTAGAAAACGACGCAAAAAATCTTAAGTTCGCCTTTTTGTGAAAAATCACTTCAATCCCTTAACTTTGGAGGGCGGTTAATAAAATTGGGCTTTTATTTCATTATTCATTCAATCGTAAAAACTATTTCATTCCATTTAGAATAAACCCTGAAAATTTCTGCTTGCTACGATGAGTGTATCAGGTCACATTCATTGTTGTGATGCGATAAACGTAAGAAACGCAATAGAATCCTTACCACCTACAAAACCTATTCTGTTTAGCCCCTCTGTATGACGATTTAACGACAAATGTGGGAGATGATTTATTTTAACAAACTTTTAAAGAACATGTTCGAAATATTTTCTGTATACAAGCGACACCTTCTAATAAATTCCTCTTTAGTCTCTGAAATGAATTTGCGTTTTCCATAATTTTGCCTCACCTTAAAAATCTAAGCTGAAATTTGCAAGGTTTATTTTACATGGTTTGAAATAATTTTTACAATAAAATGAATAATGAAATACAAACTCAATTTTTCCACCGCCCTCCAAAGTTGAGGGATGGAAGAGATTCTTCACAAAAAAATGAATTTGCGTTGATTTCTAATAAGCACTGTTAAACAGTGACATAAGTATTGCTAAAAGTAACCATTTAACACATCTCAGAAAAAAATCATAGCCCTAAACCTAATGGTTTAGTTATAATTGCGATTGAAAGTTCATTATCCCGTTTTTTTCTAAATTTCACAAAATTGCAAATACTATAAAATTTTGGATCACATATGTAGGGGTTGATTCGATATGTTTTGAGGCACTCGATCACTACTAACTTTACACCATCTATTTATGACTATCGACGCTGTGGGCGGTGGCGTATTTTTAATATGTTATTACAGTTACGATAGTTAGAACCTATAAGAATATAACCCGAGTTATTCTAAATCTATCGTACGTATGAATTGAAAACGTATTTAAACCAATTTTTTCCCCAACGAAGCAGCAGTAAAAACTGTGGTGCGAACAAAACCGGAGTATTTTGATATGGAACCCTTTCTATGCATATTATATCTTAGAAAATGTACAAAGGGAATTCCTTAAATATTTTACTTATAAAATTTATAACGCATATACAGAAAGGGGAATCTCTCAATTTGTTCTGCTACGCCGTCTCAAACTAGAGTCTCTACAATTAAGACGTTCCATTGCTGGCCTGGCATTCCTTAATAGGCTTTGTACGACAGAGTGAATGCACCAGAACTTCTCCAGAAGTTGAATTTTTGTATTCCACGTTTAACTCCGGAGTCTGGAACTGCCGTACCTTCCGTACCAAAGTATTATTTTATTCTCTGCTGTATCATATATGCAATAATTACCATTCCGTAGCAGCAGATCTTGTCTAACATACCCTGTTGCGTAATTATGTGTAAATAAATAAATAAATACAAGGTCTTTCCGTGGGATACTTACAAGGAACACCAACACGATATGAGCAACATACAGCCTCATATCTTTCCAGTTACCTTTTGTAGTCATATCCATGGAAGTGACCACGGAAAAGTAATGTAAATATATCCAACAAGTTATAACTACAAGCGGCGCTATAAAACTATGTCCATTCCAAAGCTTTACGTGGTTATAAACCGATAATATCGAATGACCTGAAAGGAATATGGCTTAAGAAAATCTCAGTTAAGTGTGTTAACTTTTTGGAAGAGTACGAAAGTCCACAGATACATAAGGGCACAAAACTGGATGACTACAAGGACAAAGTCCAATTGCTACAGGATATAGCCATAACAGCATGTTTGTGAAGACACCTCCGGCGTGTTTCACAAAAATGGTAAAGTGAAGAAAGCAAAGTGTTGGTGGAACAATGAAATAGTTCAAAAAAGAAAATAATGCGTGTCCGTCGTAGAATTACAAGAGAAAATACAAAGTACCATAGAGCAAATGGAACAAGAAATAACGTCCTGATGCTCGAGTACAAAAACATCACCAATATGCGAAAAAGGCTCATAGTCAACTCTAAACAGAGGTTGTGGGAAGACTTAGAAAATGGCGTTGGGGGTCAAGCATACAAGATAGCCATGGAAAGCAGTGATGGGCGTTTACGTCTCGATATATACACATTGCGTATACAATGTATACATTGCGTATACAATGTATACATTGCGTATACAATTTATACATTGCGTATACAATAAATACAGTGATGAAGACAATGTATAGAATAGCAGAAGTGAGGTTAGGTTTATTCGCAAACGTCAAAAAGTTGGTGAACAGTGAATCGGAAACTTTAAAAAAATATGGTTCAACGCCCCAAGAACAAAGAGATCGATGAACTAGGGTTCATTTTGCTTAAAAATGGAAAGACATATTCCGACAAAATTAACTAGAGTACTTACCTTGCAATTTAGAAAAGTCGTCTGAACTCATTGCTATAGACTCGTATAGCAAACACCTATGTGTTTTTCTTGGATTGCTACTATCTTCCCGAGAAAATGTGCTAAGCTACTCATTTTCCAGAGTATAGGCCTTTATATATAAGGTTCATGCGGTAATTTGGAGGAATACTAAATGAGTAATATTCAGTACAAATGGCAATCGATGTATTTTATGGCTAATGTCAACAGGAACATTTCTAGCCGCAATAAGTGATGCCTGTATTGAACAATACAAACTATGGCTGAATAGTTAAGAGTAGAAAGTTTTCGAGGAACGCAAAGAGCCTCAAGCCTCAGTATCTTTGTTCATGCATAGCTTTCTGAAAAGTTTATTTACTTTCTCAAGACGCGCTACAAGGAATATTGTTTAACAATTTAAATCCATTATAATATTGAAAGGACTACTTACATTTTTGGAATATTTGTGAATCGGAGAAAAATTATTGATTAGTGAACAGCATTAATAAATTAAAATTTTTATCAATATGAAACACTTCATGAGTAGTGAACTTTGAAATTATGTCATATCCAACGAAGTCGGATTCGACAGTTCGAACATTTCATTTTTACAATTCAGTGGCAGATTTATGGAAAAAGGTCGACGATTTCTTAAGTGTGTCCGCTTGTGCGGTACTTCATATGAATCAGGTGATAAATTGTTACGTTAATTTGTTCTATCTGATACAGTAAAAATGAATCATGACACTTTGATTTGTCTCGTTGACTTGTTTTTCGTTCAGTGAAAGGAATGCTAACTCCCATAAGGTTACGGTCAGTACTGGCGACTTCAAGAGAAACTTTACGAGCACTATTAGTGCAATAGTCTAAATTGAAGACTCAAATTATTCAAAAATGGAATAAACATACACGTTGCTGCTACTGCAGGGGTTTGATTTGATTTATTGTTATGATAGGTACAGTCCAGATGTACCAAGAGCTATGAAGAGAAAAAATTGAAAATTGTAGCTTATTATGTAGCATGTATGCATTGCATAGGAAATATGACATTTTGATTATTTGAGGAACGATGAATAATAATAATAATAATAATAATAATAGTAATAATAATGATGTTTCTTTATTTTGGTTAAAAGTACGAACAAAAGGAGCTCATTTGGGGAGGCTGCATTCAACACCGTTGCTCTACCATGTAACCATAGTAAATAATAATATTCTATAAGGCTAACCTAACAATTACATATTAATAATGGTTGGAATTAATAGAAACAGCAAAAAATAGAACTATTATAGTATTCACATGAGATTTGACTCTATTTCGGAAGCTACTAGGTGAGAGCGAATTTTTTACTATATCTAACAATGAGTTGTACATTGTAGATGCATCATAAGTAAATGACTTCAACCTGTTCAGTACTATGGAACGGAACATCATAGAGATGACAAGTATGCGTTTGCCTGTCATGATGGTCAGAACTCATAACAGGTTTGGTATAGAGGTAAAGTGGTAGCTTGGTTTTATTGATATTGTGAGTTAAGCGAGCAAGATGTATCAAAAAGCGCTCATGCACATTGTACCAGCCAGAGGCTCGAAATTCATCACTGAGGTGGCCAGATTTTGTTAAACCCTACCGAAATTTATTACATGAGTTCTGAATTTTCTGGATAGAGAGTTTGTCTTTAGCAGTTGAATCAGGCCAGGATACAATATCAGCATAGGACAAAGAAGAAAATATCAATCGAATCGAATATATTCAGCATGTCCTCGGTAGATAGATCATTCTTGTGAAGATAAAAAGTCCTTAATTCAGCATAAGCTTTTTCTAAGGGATGTTTAACGTAGGGTGCAAATTTAAGAGTATTATCCATACATAGTTCCAGATTGGTTGCTTGTGTGTAATACAGTGTCATTAGTGCAGATTCTAAAATTCTGGTTGTCAGTAATCTCACACGGTCTTGGTCCAAATATAAACATTTCAGCTTTATTTTCATTTAATACATGTCTAGATAAATACCAAAGATAAGGATTGATACGCATGCAGGCAACATAAGCATCATCAAGTGTGGAAGATTAATACTT